ATTTCACTGAAAACGAGCCTACCCAATAGAAGCATAATACCACGTTTTTCATTTAGTTGTGCTTTGGGGAAGTTGAGATTTACTGCTTTTGCAGTTTTCCACAAAACTGGTCTACTATCTATCTTAATTTATTATATAAGTAAACTCAAGATGTTAATGTGAAATGTCATGGTCACCAGTTCTTAAAGAAAACTGAGATAATAAAGCAGGCAAAGTTTGTTTTTAAGAAACTTTATGTGTACTAATACTTCATGTACAACAAGCATGAATTCCCTAAACCCAAATTCAAATACAAAAATGCAGCTTCAATATCCTTCAAATTCTGACCAATAGTGTGGTCCTTGGATGTATTCCTTATGTAAATATTTCTATAAATCAACCAAATATATTCCATTGACCCCAGTTATAAAAATTTTAAAGTAGTTCAATTTAAATGCCTAAAACCAAGAAATATGCTATATACTTAAGTCACTCAATTGTAGCATCTTCTATACCAAATAAACCATTGCTTATTTCAGAGATATTAACTTCCTTTATTCAGACATAAAATGCTATAATCTGGCTTAACAGTATGGCAAAGCACTTCTAACGCATAATTATGAAAAGTCTTTAAATATAGCAGGTCCTACTTTCCCTGCATTGTAAAAAATGAAAAATACAAGCTTGAACATTTACTAAAATAACTTCTAAGATTTCACATAGAAAAGAGGGCTTTTCCTTTGCCAAAAAAGAATAAAATTCTTGTCTTGAAATACAAGGCTAGTTCATTTTCATATCTTCACATCAAGCACACTACCCAGTAACACATACTATGTTCAGAAGTGTTTGCTGAGTGAATAAATTATGTACAAATATACAAAGAAACCCTCAAGAACTTAAAAATCCATCAAATTTTAAATGATTTCTCTGAAACTATGAGCACACAAGATAAACACTAAATTCTGACTCAGATAAGCTTGTCCACAATTATTTCATATCTATAACATGCATTATTCTCATGTACTTATGAAACTAGAGCCTCAGTCAATCACCTTGGGATGACCCTTCTACCACCCACAATGTACATGCTATATTCGTCCTCAGCAAAAGTGACAGCAAACTAAACCTAACACAGCTGTACCTAAATAAGAGCAATCCTAAAGTGTTCAAATACACAAACACATCGGAAAACCATGCCTTTGTTCCACTATTGAGAGAGGGAGTGGTTATGAATTCTCTGATGGAATTGTACAAGAGTGAGTTTCTAAAGAGACCCAGAAAGTATAAGAATCACTGCTACTCTTACAAAATTCTCCTAGCACTATTTCCAGAATCCATTAGGATAAACAAAAATACCTCATTTTAAACTAAAACACTGTTCAGCTTGTATCATATACCTTACTCACCAGATTTGACCAAATGACCTGACTACTTCTAACACTAAATGCACTCTCAAGATAGGCAGATTTGCCAACAATTAAGACACTGAAAATAATTTACGCAATCCAAAACTACTAATTCAAGAATAACCAACATTTCAATTCCCAGTACCATCAAAAAAAATAACAAATAACCAAAGCATCGCTGGAAAAAAGTTTAGCCTATCAAAATTGCTTACTTGAAGAACACATTTGTGGAATGTATGCATTCAGATCATATTTTTGTTTTTTGAGACAAGGTCTCATTATGTAGCCCAGGCTGACCTCAAACTCACTATGTATCCCAGGCTGGTCCCAAATTCATGATCCTTCTGCCTGAGCCTCCTCCCAAACTGCTGGGATTACAGGCATGTACCACCACATATGGCCAGATTTTACTTCTTTAAAAAGCACTGGTACCCACAGGGAAAGTTCAATTGTTTCCCATGACAGAAAAATTAATAATATAATGCTTCCATGTATCCATGACATTAATTGTTCTGAGTTTTAGGAAATATCATTTCTCCTCCATAGATTTCATTCTTTGAAATGAGAAGCAAGCAAGCAGCATTTTCCAATAGTTTATTTGAAGTTATTAACCACCTTTTTCCTCTAAATGAAAAAGGTTTGAAATGAAGTAAGTAACAGCTAATCGCTCTAAGCCTTTATGAGTTCTATCCAAATGGTAATAGTATCCACAACTGGTAACTGAAAGCTAATTTTGAACGTCTCTATAAACTATTTTCATAAATTACGCATAATCTGCATTTTACACCTATTTTGTATCAAGTTTATACTTAATATTTTAGATATATGTTTGATTAACAAAAACACTATAAATAATCATTTGTAATAGGTAATAATTTCTATAAACTACCACTATTCCATCATGATGAAAGAAACTACTGCACTTGCACTAAGTAATCCAGAAAATACTCACATATCATTAAAAATAAGATCTACAGAGGGAAGGGAGTGTACCTCAGTGGTTGACCCTGGTTCAATCCTCAGCACCACAAAAATGAAAAATCTGTAGAGATTTCCTTCCTAAGCATCTAACAGAAGCTAATCTTATTTGTATTTCCTGGGTCAATGGTACCTACACTAGTAAAGGATGTGGTCCTACAGTCTGCGGCAATCAAGCTAGACTAGACGAAAAACTGACTATAAACTTCTAAAGTGGGGATAGGGCTGGTGGAGTGGCTTAAGTGGTAGAGTGCCTACCTAGCAAGCCTGAGGCTCTGACAGCAAACCCCAATACAATCAAAAAGAGAAATGAAAATAACACCAGAGTTTCTAAAGTGGGGACAATGAACATATGTAAAATTAATACAAAGGTAACATGTAATAAAAGTACATAAAAGTGATATACTGTATTTAAAAATATCAATACTGTTATAACATCAAATACAAACCACTACTGGACTTCAATTTAAAATAAAATGTATTAGATATTTAATATTAGCTAGGAAGTCAGTACTTTTTTTTTTTATTGTTTTTGGCTGTTTTCGTAATAATTAAACTATATCACCAGAATAAGTTAAGGAAAGCTCAGGCTAAATTATACTAAAAAGTACTGATGAATAGTTCAACATTGAATGTTTTCCACTGAACAGACAAAAGAATTAAGACAAGACTGATTTTGCCATCTAAAGAATAAGTTATCAGGCTGGGGATGTAGCTCAGTGGTAGACTGCTTGCCTAGCACACACAGGCCCTGGGCTTGATCCCCAGCACCTCAAAAAAAAAAAAAAAAAAAGACTAAGCTATTCACAAATGCAAAGTTGACTACATATGATCTTTTAGATACTGACGAAAACACTGCAATGAAAGGAATACCTTTTCAGTCTTCCCCAATCCTTTCAACTACACATACACAGGCAACTATGAAGTGCAGAACAGCAATCCAGAGCAGTGCTTGGGAGGAACAGAGACTTTTATCATCTGCATGATGTATAATACATATCTCTTCTAAAGTAAGGATTCCAACATGCTCTTCCAAAAGATTAAGCAAGGTAACATACAGGTCTGGGTCAATGCCTGTCACAAAGCATTCAAATTATAGTTCCATTTAATATAAACATGAAGCAGAAGTGGGTCCGTGTGTGTTGTCGGCAGCATATGCGGTATCTCCTATCTCTGGCCACTGACTGAACTTAGAAACACTGATACCCTACGGTGGCAACGAGCAAGCATGCCAATGCCCAGATCTGACTCTAAATGCTGTTCTCTTAATGAAGGGAATCAGGACTCCTTGGAAAGTGAATGCTTGCAAGGGTTGAGAGAGAAATATGGGAGAATATAACAGATTGTGGAACCAAATAATAAGAAAATAAATGCTCAAAAAAGGATGGGGACATGTTCAAAGAACATGAGAGTCAGGCTAAAGGAGATTTTAATGGCAAAACTCAGGACAATATAAGAAACAAAATCAATAATGACAGTATTAGACTATCCCATAGGGTAAGTATCAATGAGTCCGTACTGATATAAATAACAGATGTTAGAGTAGAACAACTCCTCTTTACAGAAGAATTTCAATTAATGAATGTAGAAGAAAAAAGTCAGAAAATCATCATTAAGCAAATACCACAGCAGAACTGTTGCAGGCAAGCTCCACCACTAGATACAAAATTCGTAGGCAAAAGTATGAGGAGAAATAGGATATTTATTAGTCATGGTGGGAAAACCAGTGACTTTACTAGGGATAATCCTGGGAGACCAGTTATCAGACAAACTGACATTGCAACCCACTAAGAATCATGCACGAGATCATGTCTTTGCTCCTTTTGCCAAAAATGTACAACCTCATCCTAATCATGAGAAAACATCAGACAAACCCAAGTTGAAGAACATTCTGCAAAACAAAGCAGTCTTCTTCAGAAGTGTCAAGGAGAAAACATTGAAGCCAGGTGTCAGTGGCTCACACCTATAATTCTAGCTACTTGGGAGGCTGAGATCGGGTGGAACACATTTTGAGGCCAGTCAGGGCAAATAGTTTGTAAGATCCCATCTCCAAAATAACCACACCAAAATGGACTTAGAGGTATGGCTCAAGGGTCAGAGCACCTGTTTTGAAAGCACAAAGTGAGTTCAAAATCCAATCCCACCAAAAAAAAAGAAAACACTGAACTGTCATAGATAAAAACGGTCAAGAAGACCAAGGAGACATGATAACTAAACCGAAGGTGGGATCCTGGACTAGATCCTGGAACAGAAAAAGGAAGTTAAAGGAAAAAGTGGTAACTTCAAACAAGATACATAGTTAACAGTATTATGCTAATGCTAATTTTCTGATTTATTAATTATAACATAATTATGTAAGATATTCAAAGTAGAAGCTGGGTAAAGGGCATATGTGAACTCTCTGTAGCTTAACTACTTCCTGAAAGTCTAAATTTATTTCAAAATAAAAAAGTTCAAGTTAGCTTAAAATATGATATTCATAGTTAACTTGGTAATACATAATAGCTATCATTGTTTAGCCTTAAAATCATTAAGTTACACTAAAGTACCCTTCAATTGCTGAAGCTATAATACCTATCATTAAAATCTCCAACTGTGAAAAATGTAATCAATAAAATACATTATAGATCTCATTACCTGTAATTTTATAGCCATAAGCAGCTAGCTGTCCAGCCATGTATTCTCCATCTGAATTGTTATGTGAACAACCCCATGTTCGTATCCAAATTTTCTGTATGCCTGGAATAGTGCTGTTAAGTAATCAATTTTTTTAAAATGTCAGTTTTGTTAAGTGATTTTTTAAAACAAAAGACACTAGATGACTTCAGGACATATTACACAAAAAAGCAAACTGCAATCAATTCACATGCAATTCATTAAACATACAAATTTAATTCAAAATTTGCTAGTATATCAAAAATCCAAAATCAAGATCAAATAAAAACAGAATTTTAAGAAGAATCTCTATAGAAAAAAAAATCTCTGAACTGTATTTTCGATTCCTCCTACTAACCATACTACTAATTTAACTCCTAGAAAGATGCATACAAATAATAGCACAGAAAATGACTGTAGCAGCAATAGCTAAAGAAACATTAAGCCTATCTGCTCAGACTCCTATATACTAGTTGCAATTTTTATCTACCTTAAAACTTACAAATATAAAAGCTTTCACCCAACAGCATTATTGAAAGTATTCCATCTATTAAAAAAAAAAGAGTTCTAGAACATATAATATCTTTAGGAAGAAAAACAAAAGCACTCTCAACTTGGATGGCCCTAACAATTTACAAGTAAATAGAAATTACTATAAAGACATGTTCAGGACAAATTTGATAAATTTTAGTCATTAAAATATAAGCAAATTTCAAATTCGTAAATTTTAAAAGTGTTCCATACAAAATACTGAGTGTATTAAAACTTTCCACAGTTTATTAAATAATTATAGACTTACATAAAACTGTACAACTATGTTGTCCTTTCTGGAAGTGTCATATTAGAATTTCACTGACTATAGTCCTACCACAATAGTGTAAACAAGGCAATTTTTGTGCCCAATGCCTCTCTATCTGGCTGGTAAATATTCACAAATTTGCTAAGAATAATCAAATGTCCAAAACACCACTGTCTCATACTAACTTCAATAAAAATTTTAATTTGAAAGTAACAGAAATATATACCAACTACCAATGAGATTTCTACTGACCTACAATCTGTCTTCAAAGAACATCCAATTTGACATCTTTTTTTAACTAATTATCTTGCCAGATTTTAAAACATTCAAATTTTTTAAAAACTGTCTCTTATCAAAGTTCAAAGATTCTAAAAAAGTGATATTATGCATATCACACAGACCAATAGTGCCAGCTCCAACCCTGGAATGAAAATGAATATAATTTCAAGGAAAAAAGCTTACCTATCACTTGGTGGACTATTTTCCTCTTGCAAATCTGTTTGGGTATTTCGCTTTCGCACTTTTGGAACAACATACTTTCTTGCAAAATGTCTGTCCTGTGGCTTTGAGTCTTCCTGTGACACAATATCTTCTATGTCATCCAGCAGTGTATCACAGGATGCAGAGGGCATTTTTTCTATCACATAAAAAGTTATAATAAAAAAAACACAGAATTAAGAAAATCTAAACACAGCATCACTTGTGAAAAATTCTCACCAAACTTGAATCTCATCAAGCTTTTAAGATCTAACTTCAAGTTTACAGAGAATGAAGGAAACAAACACACACATACACATGGAAACAATCAGACAAGTCCTACTGATAGTGTCACATGCCAAGATTCAACTGGAACTACTTCTTCAACAAATGGAGAAAAAAATAGGACGGGACCTTTTCAAGATTAAAGCAAATATCAAAGCCTAGTAATTCTCCATCAGCTATAAAAAGACATTGGTGTTGAGGACAAAACCACCACAACCTCCAGTGCTTTGATGAGTCCTCAGATATATGAACTTTTAGCCAAGCATCCACAATTTCATATTACTAGAGGGTTGCAGCTCTCTATAAATTTGCTGTGGCTGAACCAAGAATGAAGACATACACAGATTTCTACAGAAATTATAATCCCATTAAATATTTTGAAGAGATGAAGGCTGACATCTTTTGGAGTACAAATGATTTTGGGATGTAAAGAATGTCTTTGGGTTGAGCCTCACAGAAGTTTGTCACTGATCCGAGCTTCTAAACTTTGAAACATGACTTTGTAGGTATGGCACGAAACAGTTTCTCTTGATATATAATTAATCAATTTTAAAGGGCCAAACAACTAATACAATTCATGTTCTTGACTGGGTATTACCTTATCAACCAACTATGATATACTAGGAAAAAAATCAGAATATGAACTGGATATTAGATAATCTGAGGAGTACCATAAATCATTAAATATAAAGTATCAGCCTTGTGTTGGAAATTTACTTTTTAGAAATGCATACTGAATATTTAGAGGTAAAACAGATCTATAATTTATTTTAAAACACCTCAGGAAGAATAGACTAGGATATTGGAGAAAATGCTGACAACTGAGAAATCTAGAAAGTATTTGGTGTTCATTATCTTATATTTTCCTGAATGCTCAAAATTTTTCCAATTAAAAGAAAATGTGAGCACAGCATCAAAGAAGATAAACATACTTTTTCCCTATCCAGCCAACAAAATCCAACTAAAACTCTGGACATCATATATTGAAGAAAAAACAAAAAACAAAACTTTGGAAGATGGAGAAAAGACAGACTGGCTAGGGACCTCAGGCCCAAGGAACATGCTGATGAGCTCCTCAGATCTCCTTTCGCCTCCTGTATTCCAAACTTCCCACTGAAGACATCAGCAGCACAGAGATGCCAATGAGTATAAACAACAAAAGGCCCCAACAAAATTCAAAAGAACAACAAGGCAGATTAGCAAGATCAGAAGCTTTTCAATAATAACCACTATAGTCCAGTTAAACACACCACACACACACAGAGCAGTCTCATCACCTGGCAAGCTATAAGGTCTAAGTAGGGAGGCGTGTCTGGGTGCGTGTACTGGGGTTTGAACTCAGGGCTTCACACTTGCAAGACAAGACCCCATCTCCAAAATAACCAGAGCAAAATGGAGTAGAGACATGGCTAAAGCAGTAGAGCATCCGTTTTGCTAGCACAAAGCCCTGAATTCTAACCCCAGTCAGCCACTCCCTCAAAACAAAAAAGATGTTTTAGAGATAGGTCTATCATTATGCCCAGGTTGGCTTGGACCAAGATCCTCCTATATGCTTCCCACAGTTACTGGGATGTCAGCTACACACCATCATACCCAGCTTTTTTTCCATTGAGATGGGGTCTCGTAAACTTTTTTGCCAGATCTAAGACTCAGAAACATTCTATACATGACTCTGTCACTGTCAGTATCCTCACATTGATATCCAGTTGTGATATTGTATTCTTTTATAGTTTAACCAGATGCTACGATTATGGGACTGGATAAAGTATACAAAGATCTCAGACTAATGTTTAAACTGCAAGTAATCTATAACCACATTAAAATAGTAATTAAGAAAAAAACAGTACCTGGGAAAAAAGAAAATGTACTTGAGTACACTGAGTGATAATTCTACAATAAGCAAATCCCTTGCAGGATCATCACACCAACTCTGAAGAAGGCAGTAGTGTTATTCTCACCTTAAAGGTGAGCAAAAAGAAACACAGAGAAGTCAAACAAGGTTTCCACACCAGGTGAGTCCAAGCCCATATCCTTTGTGCTATCTGCCTATTTATTGTGTATACACTGAATGACCACTGTTGCTCATCCAAGTCATCTGAACCACAGAATTAAGTATCATCTATTCTTTCAGGAGGCTTAAAACCTATCTAGTAAACTTCCTTCATCTCCTGGATTCCCATTTTTCCATGTCATTCAGTTAACAGACTGACTTCCAGCCAAGCTTGTTTTTGTGCCCTTTACTCTGTTATATGTTCTTCACAACCATAACAAATTATGTGCTGTCCATCAGTCAAACCTGTGTTCAAATGTCAGCTAGATTTACACTTTGGTAAGAACAAAAGAGAAGTAATACCCAATGTCAATCATTAATACTGGTTATAGCTAACATGCATACCACTTCATCATTTCCTGGACATAGGAATGGGGCACATTACCCAAGTCCTCCAGAGTAACCCATCTTTTTGGTGTCAATGACTGGTTCAGGGTTGGTCACAACAAGAGCAACCAAAAAGAAAGGACTGTGAGGCTAACAGTCCTTTCTCTTCTGTTAGTTGTGGACTAACAGAAGAGATGGCTTCTCTTTTCACTGACGTGGCTAAATTAGGAGGATGTCAACTTGGGGATACCAGGGGCCATCTTGCCTGCCACAGAAGCAAGCCTACTGAGGAATGAAGTCAATAGGAGCTACAGAGATAAAGAACCATATTGACATCATTTAAGCACTTGGATCCAACCAATGCCTGAATTCAGGTGCAGCCCTACTCTGCCCAATTATATGAGCCACTAAATTTCCTCTGTAGCTTAAGTTCACTTGAGTTGGGCTTTCAGCTCTTGCAAACAAGAGCCTTGACCAACTCAGATCCAGGTTAGTCTTTCCCGAATTGGTTGTTTACTTGCAGTAGCACTCAATGAATAAACAGTTCTGTGGTCAAATGAATGTAGAAAATTCTACCTCCTTACAGATCCACAGTGCACATAATTAAAGACTTTGAAAAACTGCAGTAAAGAAATTTTAAACTCATTTAATACTAGGAATCTTCTAAAATATCATTTCTCATAGATCTCCTCTTAAAGAAGAAAGATGGGACTGAAAACAGGAGACCAGAATGATGCAGACTCTCAAGCCCTCATACACCCTGCAGATGGATGACTTCCTGGGATGACACTGGGAAATGAGTTTTTTGCCCATGTATTCTACCTTCCAATCTGTTACTTTGAATAAACTGTCCACTCCATAAAAGCAATCCTCCTTCTCTGACCAAATTGAGCACAGAATTCTAGCAATGCTCCTCCTTCCTGTATTATCACTACCTCGTTGCTGAATCATCACTGTCTGGAGATAAACATACTGTTATTTCTCCCATTTAAAAAAAAAAAAAAAAAAAGCCAAAACCCTCTCTTGATCCCACTTCCTGCTCTGAGCTCCACTGCATTTCTCTCCTTTAATAAAAAGCTCCTAGGAAGAGCTATCTATATTTACAGACTCAATGTCCCACTCCTGTTTTCCCATGAACCATTCACATTCCACCAAAATTGCCTGTCACGATTTCAGTGACTTCCAGTGTTATGTACAATGATCAATTCTCAGTCATCCTAAGAGACTCCATTTGCAGTACTTGACATAACTGACCATTCCCTCCTTAAGGCATTTTCCTCCGTGGCTTCTAAGGTGCCACACTCTCCTGGTTCTATGCCTACCACATTAGCCACTCTTCAAGTCTCCTAGGCTCATTCCTTCATCTAATGTCTCAGCATTGGAATGGCCCCACAGCTCCATTACAGGAGCTCTTCTGTAGTTACAGGCACTCCCTGGTGATCTCATTCAGTCCACAGCCTTGAAATACCAACTGTATGCTTATATAACCAGCCCCACTCTTCCCTGAACCTCAGACTCATATGTCCAAATGCTGATGGGATACTCCTGCATGAATGTCTACTAATTATTTCAAACTTTAAAAATCAAAAACAGAACTCCTGGTCCTCTCCCCTCCTCACTAGATCCTCTCAAACTGCCCATGCCCCAACACCTTGGAGACAGGATCTTGTATGTAGCCCAGGCTGGCTTTGAACTCATGATCCTCCTGCCTCAGCCTTCTGACCACAGAACTGGGATTACAAGTGTATACCACACCACAACACCAGGCTACTCCACATTTTTTTTAAAGGTAATCCTGCCAGTTTAGATCAAAAATCTTGAATCATCCTTGACTCCTTTTCTTCCTTCAAGCTAAATCCAATCCACTAGTTAGATTTACCTTCAAAATCTACTTAGAATCTATTTGTGGCCACATCACAAATAGAAGACCCAAGCCAACATCAACTCTTGCCTGGATTATTGCAACATTTAGACTTTCCACTTCTACCCTTAATTCCTCAAAACCTTTTTCAGCACAGAAATCAGGATCCTTTTAAAGCTGAAGTTCACTTCAAACTTCTGATAAACCCTTCCAACAGTACTTCATCTCTGAGTAAAGGGCAAAATCCCTACAAAGATCTGCAAGGACACAAACAATCAGCCTCCTGTTACCTCTAACCCCATTTCCTATCAGTCCCCTCTCTTTCTCCTCTCAGCCTCACAGCTTCCTTTCTAGTTCATATTCACCAAGTAAACACCCACTTCAGACTTGTTCTTACCTGAAGTGGTCTTACTCAAGATATCTATGGCTCACTCACACAAACCCTTCAGCACTGTGCTCAAATGTCAGCAATGCAATGAGAATCCTTCCAAACCACCCTCACCAAACATCTCACCTCCCCCTACAACACATACACACTTCCTATCCCCCTTCAAGAGTCTTGTTTTTTCACCACAGCACTCAATCACCTGCTTATACATTGTTGGGTTTTTGCTGTCTCTTTCTACCAGAATATGTATTTCATGAGTGTAAATCTTTATGTGTGCTTATTCACAGCTTTACCTCAGGTGCCTAGTACTATACCTAGCAACTAGCAGGTTCTCAAATTTTTTTTTACTGTAGACTAGAGTCTAGCAAGATAATGGACTTTGCTACCTCTTTTTCTACCTCTTACTATCCTAACTGTACTAAGCTTTTAGATACTATGAGCAAGCCAAACCAGTTTGACTCCAAGGCCTCCACAATTGCTATTCTTCTGCTGGAATACCAGCCTCCAAGACATTTTCAAGGCCTGATGCCCACTTCTCCATTCAAATGAGACCACCTTAAGCCTTTCCCAACCATTTTATCTACAATAACCACACTACCCAAGCATCCCCATAGTCTCACTAACCCTACTTTATGCTTCATTTTTCTTCACAGCACTTACCTGCCTGACACCATATATATCACTGCATGTGTCTTTCCCACTACAACCTAGGTTTCATAAGCACAAGGATGTCATCTCTTCACCACTATCTCCACAACACCTCTAACAATACCTAGTACACAGCAGGATTAATATTTTTTACTAAATGAATGGAAACAATGTGTGTTTATGTTGAATTTACCTAGTCTTTCTATAACATAGGTAAAATTCTCAAGTGGGAAGTTAAAGTAAAAACCCAGTCCCTTGGGTTTCTTCTATCATTATCATTCTATGAAATAATTGAGAAAGGTGAAGATCAGGTAGTGCCTGTAAGTATTACTAAGAACTACTGAAGGATTATGAATAACTGAATAACATATTAAAAGCTATAGGTTTTTTGTAAAAACTACACAATTTTTACATTCCATACACAACTGTGTACAGAGCCACTGGAGGAAAATAGAATAGAAAAAAAGAAGGATGAAAAGAATCCATTGCAGGAGAGAGAAATACCACATCATTAAAATTGAGGAAGAAGGGATTATTGCTAAACTTCTTATTGTACAGAACTAAAGTTCTGAGAAGTTAAAGGATTTGTACATTGACAGAGCTAGAATAAGAACCCAGGCCTCCTCTCATGCTCTTCCCGCTATGGCTTTGCCTCACCAGAAAAGTACAAACAAGAGTCTAGTGTAACACTGAGAAATAAACACATCCCAGAAAACAATGGGCAAAGGAAGAACAGACAATTCACTTAAGAAATAACAACAGCCAATAAAAATAGGAAAGAATGTCAAGTATTCAAGCAATGAGTTATTTTTCATCGACCTTAATGGTATTTAAAAAAAAAAAAAAAAAAAAAGACTGACAAAAACTCTGTTACTTGAAAACATGGTAAAACTGGTATACCATTTCTGGAGGGCACCATGACAATAGAGTTCAAGCTTTTAAATATGCATATCCTTTGACCCAGAAATTCTATTACTAGCAATTCACTTTAAGGAGACAAAGAAAATAAAAATGTAATGCAGAGGTTCTTAAACCTAACTGCATATCCTAAGCACCTACGATTTCATTCATCACTATGAATAAGCTGGAGTTTTTACTTCAAACCAATAGATAGAACTGTTTAAGGATTCATACATTTTTAAATAACATGAAAATGAAAGTTTAAAAATAAAAGGAAAGCAAGGTAATAAATAAGGCAAAAAGATCATGTAAAATTATCTTCAAAAGTGGAGGAAATCAAGTTTAATAAAGGGAATAAAGATAGAGAAATGGGAAATACTGAAAATGATAAAAAGAAAGGATGCAATATCCTACAGTAGTGATTACTTACATAGATGAGTTATTAGGGGAATTTTCATAATATGAAATTCTCACATTCCATTCTGAATTAAAATCTCCAAGAGCCATGTGAACTTAAAAACTGCTCAGGTAGGGACTGGGGTTTTAGGTTAGTGGGGGAACACATGCATGAGTCTGTAGGTTCACCCTAGCAAATTAAAAAAAAAAAATCCTGCTCAGGGGATGTCACTAATCGTCCCTGATTAAAAACCACATTTCTCACTGGGTGCACCCCTGTAATTCCAGCACTTGGGAACTAAATGCAGGAAGATCTCCTTCCCTCATTCCAGTCACCTGAGGAGTTTTTGAAAATTAACTTGGATTCAATCCCCAAGAGAGAAGGAAAGTGAGGCAGGAGGGGGGAGGGAAGAAAATGGCACAAATGAACCCCAGATAAGTTGGATCAATCTCTGGGAATGGAGCCTGTGCAATTTTTTTTTAATTTTCCAGTAATACATGTGTAGTTACAGCTGCAAACTAATGCCCTACACTAGTAATTTTCACAGTGTGATTTACATCATGTGAAAATTGTTAGAAGTGAAAATTCTTGGACACCCCACCACCACCGACATATTGAATCAGATATTCTTAATTTAACCTGGTAATATTTAGCAAGCCCTAAATATTAATAAGCATTCAAGTTGGAGAATCACCGTCCTAGAGCTATTCTTTCATAAAAATCACCTAGCATTCATGTTAAAAATACATTACTTGGTCAGCTGATTTTTAACATGAGTATGAAAACAATTCAATGTAGAAAAGAAGAGACTTTTCAAGAAATGGTGCAGGGACAATTAGATAGCCACATGCAGAGAATGTAGTTGGATCCCTATCTCACATCATACACAAAAATTAACTCAAAATGAATCACAGACACAAATTACACTACAAAATCCTACAAATAACATTGGTATAAATCTTTGTGACATTAGAAAGGCTGGTTTCTTAATTATGATGCCAAAAGCACAAGCAACCAGAGGAAATAATGTTTCCTTCTTCAAGGATACCATCAAAAAAGTGAAAATGGGAGAAAACACTGGTAAATCTTCTATCTGTTGAGGGTCTAGTATCACAATAAAGAATTCAAACCAACAACAAACAACCCAAATTAAAACGTGGTGAAAGGATTTGAAAAGATCTTATTTCCAAAAAAAGATAGGAACGGCCCATAAGCACATGAAAAGATGTCAATATAATTACCCACAGGGAAAACTACAAGGATACACATTTTCACACTCACTAGGATGACTAGAATAAACAAATTAAAAAAAAAAACAAAAAACAGGTAACAGTGTTGACAGCATATGGATTAGATCACCAACTCACCAACATAAAAAGAAAAAGAGAACAGAGTTAGGACAGTTACAGAACCAAGCTTGAGGAACTCCAAATTTAACTGCCATGTAGAGAACTAGGCTATAATGGAGACCAAGAAGTAGCCACGGAAGAAGAAAGTAAGTGGGCTGGAGATGGCAAAGTAACAGAGCATGTCGGGGAGACCGACATGCTCAATGAAAATGAAAGAGTAAATAAAGCAGATGAATGAAAATGAAAGATTAAATAAAACAAATGAAAATATCTCTTGAATTTACTAGTATAGAAATTATAGCATTTCCATTAAATGATAGTAGCAAATTACTAGGAAACTGGGATGCCTTTGTGCACATTCTAATATGTAACATTCCACTTAAACATAAAATTTTTAAAGCCAGTCAGTACCTTGATTATCTGCAATTAGTCTCAAGTCCTCTTGAAAGATAAGTCTGGAAAATAAAAAGTAATTAGAAAATGCAAGCATTCAATAAGTTCACAAAACCACTGTAAGAACTTTTTTCAAAAAATACCTAAAAAGAATAAAGCCTTCATAAAAGCCTTTTTTTATACAAGGTTAATGACAGCTCACACTACTTCTTAGTGGTTATTGCAGGTGTGTCGACATCTGCCATATCTATAAGCCAGCATCTGGCTACAGTTAAAAATAAAAATAAAAACCGCTGTTCAATACTCCAACACCTCAGCCTAGCGCATGCCAGTAACCAACAACCCAAAGCAGTAGGAAGGCCAGAGTTAGGAATCCACAGCACCTTCTACCCGAAAGAAACATGTTGCCTCCAGATTCGGAGAGGTTTTATGAGTAAAGGAAAATAAAACGTGAAAAAGCAAGCCAACTGCTCCTCTGCACAAATTTCAGATAAATGCTAATAAAGATGCGAAAGGCCTGTCACGTCTCACAGGTTCAAAGAGGTGAAAACTGACAAGGAAGTCGCTTAAAAACACCTGGCAGACCAGCAGCAGCTAAAGGCCCAGCACCCGGTCCTGGCTCTTGGCAACGGCCCCGCCATCCCAAGTCCCCGATCGCAGCTGGCTTCAAGGCTCCTTAATGAGCACTCGGCCCGGAAAGACGGAAACGACAAAAACGAAGCTTCTCCATAAAAACAACTCTAGCCACACTGCCCCGCACTCATCCATGCGCCAAGCTTACCCAGAAGTCGGAAAATAACAGGCTAAAGGGGGGGAAAAAGCTACTCGCCACTTTCAGGAAGCAGCACAGGCTTCAGACGGAGGGCGCCATGACACTTACGTCACGCCACGCGCGTCTTCGCCGCTCGACGACGGTGGCCCGCACGGACCAGACTGCCCGAAACGCGCGTTCTCTTTCAACTTCATTTATTGGTGCTCCTCAAGTTCTATTGGTTCCGAGAGCGAAAATGCCTCCCAAGTTAATCTGCCAATTCTGATTCCCCCCTGGGCTGAATCCAACACTGTTTGGCTTCTTTTCACCACATTTTATTAACTTTTTCAATCTTTTTGTAGAAAATAACAGTTGGTGGATTAAATTTAATATACACCATTAAACACCAAGCAAGTTTGCAGAATTTCTGATTTGGATTTTTTTTTTCAATGCTGAAAAGGCAGTTTAGCAGATTCCTATAGAGAAAAGAACTTTTTTGGAGTATACTGATTCTGACCTGGATCTATTATCTCACTTTATTACTCTTTACCAAAGACTTGTATTTGGCTTCTGTTTGCCAGAAGAACATTCCCAGTTTTAAAAGTGGAGGACACAGGCTGTGAACAAGAGTCAGAAATGATGAATTCTATGCCCCACTTTGTGTATCACCACGGTTTGGGGCAATCACCTTATTTTGTAAATGAATTTCCTAGTACTCCTCTAATTCAAATGCCACCCTTTTCTCTACTTATCCATGCCTATCAGACAATCTAAACAGTGACCTGGGATCCACTACAGTCCTTGCCCAACTGAACTAGAATTGTGTGTTTACCTTGTCCCATCTTTTTCACCACTGCCAATACTAGGACCTGGGTTATCTTCCTGGTCCTAGCCATATCCATGAGTTTAGCCTCTCCATAAGCATTTGTTTAATGAGTGATTCTACTTCTTTTACCCAATCCAAGTTCAGTTAAGAAAAACATTTTGAATATGCACTCCATAACCCCAAGAGCTGTGCTGGACAGTGGAACTAAAGAGAAAGAAAAAGATACACCCTACTGTGATTTCAAGCTACTCTAAAATAGAAGTTTCAGTAAAGAATAGCAATCACTGTGGAAGATGAATATACAGGACACGAGAGTAATTTAAAGGAAGTGGATGGATTTATTCCAGGTTGGGAAGAGTAAGAATTCATGGAGGCCTGTTGCTCTGAAAGCAACAACAGTGATGAAAAATGTCTACTGCAAAGGGGAGGTGCATGGACCAGGTTAAGGTAGTGCTTTCATGTTAATATATGGACATAATCCTGCATAAACTAGACAATACAAAAGTGTCTGAGCAGATTATTTTCTCAGGAGAACAAATGTGAGGACAATACTTCAGACATAAAGAAATACTGAAAGTCTAAACTGAGGTGTTGACTGTGATGAACAGGAAGGTAGCACATATTGGAAGAGATATCAAGGAGGTAAAATCAGCAAGACCTAGTGACTGAAAGGTGTGACAGAAGAGGATGCAAGTCACTTTTGCGAGGTATTGTCTGATGTGACTAACACAAAAACTTCTCTATAAACTCTCTTTACGTACTTTTAGTCTAAATCATTTGAAAAGAAATTAATTATACAGGAATAACTTATGTACCTGGTATTTTTTAAAGCATTTCTTGTAATAGCAAGACTAGAAACCCTCTTCAGCTCTTCAATAGGGGATTGGTTAAATATATTTATAGTGTCTGTACAGTGACTGAAAAAAATGAGGTTGCTTTTAATGTGCTGTCCGTAAGATATTCTTAAGTGGAAAAGGCAAGTTTCAAGATCCTATATACAGTGTTAAATAAAGTAACTGGAATAAATATATATATATATGTATTATTTCTGGTAAGCTATATAAGTAAGTGGGAATGGGTTCATCTCTGAAAAAAGGAGTTAGGTAGGCCAAAGGAGATGTACTTTTCCATATACATAATTTTGTGCAAATATATTATTTACTTAAAATTGTAAAAAATTAATTTTATAAATAAAATAACATTTGATAACATAATTTAACTATTGCATTATTATAACAGTATTAATTATTCAACAACTAAATTGAACTCTAATTTAGCTTTATATTACTATTTAAGTTTTAAATCTTTTTATTGTGATAACATAAAACTTACCATTTTAGCTATTTTTAAATGTATAATTCAGTGGCATTTAAGTACATTCATTTTTGTGGAACCTTCTCCACCATTCATCTCTAGAATTGTTTAATCTTTTTAAGCTGAGACTGTGCAAATTTACTGACAGCCTATTTCTCCCTCTCTCCAACCCCTGGCAACTGCCCTTTTTTCTATCTACTTCTATGAATTTGACTACCTATCGCATATAAGTGGAATCACACAATTTTTGTCCTTTGTGACTGGTTTATTGTACTTAGGATAATGTCCCTGAGGTTTAGCCATGTTGTAACATAAATGAAAATTTCCTTCCTTTTTAAGGCCAAATAATATGAAATTGTATGTGTATGCTAGATTTGGTTTACAAATTTTAAAGCTTTGTGCTTTGTTTCTCAAGTTAGATTACAAGCCATGCAAAAATAATACAACTCCGCTTGATTTTTGGTTTTTTTATCACACAATTAACATTGAAGCTTAATAAATGTTTAGTAGTAGATAAATTAATTGGTATATACAAATTCACATTTAAAAAGCATGAGAATCTATAAAATAAAAGGAAAAACTAAGATTTTTGGAACACTTATAAATGCGTACCAATTAAGGACTCTATGTAAATTGTTATGTATATTCATCACAATAACTCTGTAAGTACACTTATAAATTAGTAAATTAGTTGCTTTAACAACTCTATATGAATACTTCAGAAAAAAGGAACTGTATACTTTAACAATAATGCAAAATTTCAAATAGAGAAAAAATATTAGCAAGAAAAAAAGAAAATAATGGTAAGAGAAATGTGGAATAAAGCCTATGAGCCTTCAGAATAATTCAATAATTTTTTTAGCAACACTGGGGGTTAAACTGAAGGCCTCACACTTGACAGATAGGCATTTTTACCACTTGAGACACTCCGCCAGCCCAAAAGATCCAATTGTCCTACAAGTCTTCACTAACTGAAGAAAAATGAATACAAAAATTGGGCAATATGGAAGTGAGAAAATTCTTACTATCTTCAGTGAATAATTGAGAAAGAAAATTGTAAGAATTTAGGATTTAGCTTATGATCTGAGCAATTAGTCATTGTACTTATAAATTTATATCAATCAGTATCTTTTTATGAGAAACAATTCATGTGTTTAACTTATTCTTGAAAAGTGATAAGTGTATATGAAATTTTCTATGACAAATATTAGGTAAATGTAATAGAACAAGATCTAAAACAGATTAATCTAACTCTCCTATGAGATAAAAAGGGCAAGTAATAAGGACTCTTACCTTTTAAAGTTCAGTAAGTCACCATGCATTTGGCAAATATTTTGTGACTTTATATTAGCTTCCTATCTCATGTGACAAAAATCCAACACTAATTTTTTAAGCAACAAAGGGTAGGAAGTAGCACATGCAAATATTGATTTAGGGATTTAGATTGTATCTATAAATTAGTTGTCAGAATAAAGTTCCCCAGTTGGCACCATGCAACTAAAGTAGGAAGATTTTTATAGTGTTGGATGAACCCAAGAAGAAAAATGTCCATTGTAGGAATAGAGGGGAAAAAAAGAAGGAATAGTGTAACTATGCCAAAAACAATTTGTTTGAAATGGATTAATGCTTCAATATGGAGGACAAAAGAGAAGGAAGCTGGTGTGCTTAAATGAACTGATAAAAGATACTAGAAAAAGCAAGATGTGAAAGAGTCTCCTGCTGCTGTCATTGGCTTAATGCTGGATTGTCTCCTCAGAATGTCACCACTAGGGGTCAGAGTGCTATACATCTAATACCAGCTATTCTATCAATTTACACAAGCAGGTTTGGCTCACTTCTATAATTACTTTTATCTTTGCATTCTCCCACTCTTAGTACAAATGGTTTAGAGGCTGTACAAGTGGCCTGTGGCCCACGCAAAGGCAATGAGAACACCACATTCCCTTGACTCAGAACATGTAATCAACACCAGGCCAGAGCAAATTCTGGGCTCTCTGTCAACTGCAAGAATCTAAGTCTGAAGCTTCAAGGGCTACGAGGAGAGGAACACCTGCCTGAGACAAAAGCAGAATTGAGTGATGAAAGGGAGAAATACATTCTGAAGAAAACTATAAGGCCCCTACATCCATCATACGTAGGAGAGGAGGAGTCTTACTTCTGAACTGTAATTTTTTTGAACAAGTAAATCTCCACTTTTTTTTTTCCCCTTAAGCTACTTGGAATGGATTCCTGTCACTTAGAACCAAAAGAGTTCTGGATAATGTTCTTAATGTTATAGATCTCTAATTTATTAAAAAATAATTTTCATTTGCTGTCAAGCTCCCTGGTTGCTCATCAATATCAATTTACACAAACATCAGGCATATGTTATCTCTGTCCTTCAGTAATACATGACTCAATAAATAATACATTTGTTGGACTGGGATGGAACTCAGTATTAGAGCACTCTCCTACCATGCATAATACCCCGGGTTCAATCCCCACCACTGGAAATAATAATAATAATAATAAATTTGTTGAGTTATATAATAATACCTTTGTTGCATAGAAGGCCAGAGTGTACCAAGGGTGATTCTAAGTGCTCAGGAAACAAAAGTACAAAGATCTCCACCATCTTAAGGGTTTATTTGCTAGGAGATAGAGATTTTTAAAAACCACAATAAATATAATATCAATAGTATATTCTATGCTCAATGATAATAAAGATGGCCAAAAATTATAACAGATTAAGGAGTACCAAGAATCAGGGCTTGAGATTTTTAAAGATTGAGGTCAAAGTAGGCTCACTAAGAGAAAAAAATCTTCAAGAACGGGCTTGAAAAAGGTGAGGGAGTTAACCAAAGAATGTGTAAGGGAAAAACTTTCAATGAAAAGGAACCAACCAATGGAAAGGCCCTATGACAGGAGCATGCTCCAAATATTTGAGAAACAGCTGGAAAGCCAGAGTAGTTTGAGTGGAAAGAGGCAGCAGTAAGAAAGGAGGTAAAAAC